ATATATATTCTCCATCAAAAGAAATAGAAATGAATTACATTAATTCAGTTAAATAAATAATTTTTTTAGTGTGTAATATTTAAATTAGATTTATTTTCTTATATTATATTTTTTTCTTCTAATATTCATATATATTTTGATCAATCGTCATATTTAACCATTGAATTGGCCCTATCGACTGATGCTATTTATCGGTGTACAAGCGTACTCTTTAATACTCACTCTATCGATAAACTCTTAGTTTATTATATCAATAGCTAGTAAAAGGAAAATTTTATTTTTTGTTATTAATATACAATTAATTTAAAAAAGTCATTTTAGGAAATTTTGGAGACAGTAACCAACAAATTTGTATTATTACAATATGTTCATTTTAATTAGTTAAAAAAAACACTTATGTAGCTTTTGATTTTCAATAAGTATGTAACTAAAAGTCAGAATGTTAATATAATAATTCGTCAAATATATCGAATATAGTATAATATATTATTGAAGTTAAAATTATTGAAGATAATTAGTACAATAATACAATATATTATAATCATGATTTAAAGAAAATAAGACATTAACATTTGTATATATAAGATAGATTCTTCTAACATAACACTAATTATAGTCATTTTTAAATATTTATGTTTATACAATACTACGAATCTAAGTAAAATAGTAATTTATAGTTAAACGTTAGTGAGAATTATGCGATGTTGGTAAGACTCGTATCGATGCAAGAATTTTACATTATCAACCTTGTTGCTGATCCATTCTTGAAATGTATGCCAGAGGACGCCCAACGCTGCGTCGTTTGGCAAGGCTGCGAGGCGCAGGAGCACGAACGTCGTCCTCCGGGTTGCTGTCCGGTAGGAGTTTAGTCGGTGCCGGTCGGTTCCGAGAGTCGTTCATATTTTGCGGGACGCAAAAATCTAAAATGGCAAGAGACATGTACATTTGATAGGGTGGTCCACTCGACAAGCGAGAAAGCTGATTCGGTCTCAGCATAACGCACGATGATGAGCGAGTGAAAACGGAAAAAAAGAGAGAAAGAGAGAGAGAGAGAGAGAGAGAGAGAGAGAGAGGGAGGGAGGAAGGGAGAGAATAGAGGAGAGGAGAGAGAGAGAGAGAGAGAGAGAGAGAGAGAGAGAGAGAGAGAG